TTTTAAATTGAAACAATTGATTATACATATTTGTGGGGTACAGCATTGAATATCAATACCTCTGTGCATTATGTGATGCTGAAATCAGGATAATAAGTATGTTCAACATTACAAATGTAATACTTTTTTGTGGCCCTTTATCAATTTTTCACCAACCCTCCTCCCCCTCGCTCTTTCCCACCTCTGTTGGCTTGAGTTCTGTTCTCTCTTTTTGAAAGTTCAACAGATTATTGTGATCGTTGTATCTTTCTTATGTTTTTACTTATTTGCTTATTTTTTAATTCCCACTTATGAGTGAGGACATGTGGTATTTCTTTTTCTGTGACTGGCTTATTTCACTCAATGTAATTCTCTCTAAGTTTATCCATGTTGCTGCGAATGGCAGAATTTCATTCTTTTTTTAGGCAGGACAGTATTCCATTGTGTGTGTGTGTGTGTGTGTGTGTGTGTGTATGTATGTATGTATATTACATTTTCCTTATACAGTTGTCTGTTGATGGACATTTGGGTTGATTGCAACTATTGTCTGTCATAAATAGAACTGTAATGAACATAGCAGTGCAAGTATCCTTTTGACATGATGATTTCCATTCCTTTGGGTGTCTACCCAGCGGTGGAATTACTGGATCGTATGGCAGGCTGTTGTTTAAATTGTTTGAAGAACGTCTATACTGTTTTCCATAATGGCTGCACTAATTTATAAGCCCACCAACAGTGTAGGAGGGCTCTCCTTTCTCTGCAAGGTAACTAATCACAGTCAAGTGAATCATCAAGCAAAAGAATCATTTCTTCTCAGCTCTGTGAAATGGTCTTTTTTGAGATACTTCTCGGAATTATACTTGCCGTATCTATAATAAGAATTTGAATGTTGATTGTGATGCTGCCGCTGCTAACATCTATTTAGGAATTACTATATGGTAAGCACTATTCCAAACACTTCGCATATATTAACTCATTAATCACAACAAGTGATGAGAAACATACCATTATTATTCCCATTTTGATGTATGAGGAAGTAAAGTAACTTGTCAAAAAGTGCCTCATTGCTAGAGCTGAGATTTCAAACTCAGCACTGCGACTT